TTATAGTCTTTGACACGCTAAAAATTCAATGAAAATAAATTATAACCCACACAAAAGCACATTTGTGGGGGATTATTTTAGTACCCGAGCGAGGATTTATGAGGTAACCTAGTATTTTGATCTCCTATTTTATTTTGGCCAATCAATATTAAAATTGTTAATACTAATTTTTTACGGGTAGTTCCATAATAATAAAGGTACGTGGCGAATAATAAAAAAAAGTAAATCAAACAAGGAAACAACAGTATAACAATTTTTTCCTATTTAATTTAGATTTTGAGAGTAAATTTTCTGTCACGTGACTGCATGGAACCAGTCAAACGAGCAGCAATATTATTTTTTTGTTTATTGCTGAATTATCCATTGCAAAATGCTGATGTTCACACGTTTTCACGTTTGAAAGACACAACTGGCTTGGCGATGGTGCACGTGCTTTCACGTGTTCTGCGTGCCGTCCATACAGGAAAATAGTTCTTTTTCCCGATTAAGATCGCTGTTCTCTGTACCTTAAATCAAAACTTGAAACCAGTCAAATATTCTACGTAACATAAACAGCATCCTTGCGTCATATATTTTTTCTTTTTGTTAATGAGGCTGAATATATTATTCAGGTTATCTGTTTTTTTTTTAATTTATGAATTTTATAGTTCTCATATTATAGAGAAAATAATTCTTATGTCATGTGAAATTAAAAAAAGTCATATATACTACCTATGTTGCACTGACATCGACATGAGATACGAGATATGACACGACATGATATTTCGATACATTAATTCTAAAAAATATTAAATTTTGACACGTTATGATACGTTTTGATATTATATAATATTTTTAATTTATGTAGTATATATTATATTTAATATTCAATTATTTAACAAAAAAATAAAGCTAAAATCATAATACTCATCAATTTTGTAAAGAAACATAAGATATCTCAAATGTTTATATTAAACTCGATAAAATAGTAATCATAATCCGACGAATCTAATAGTTAGAACTCAAAATGCAATGCAACATAACCTTTGAACCTTTTTTGAAGTTTTTGTAACGAGTATTGTACTGTCGGGAAGTTTCAGAATGTCGGTAAGTGTCGAGAAATGTCAGACACGACACGTTAGGTATTTTGAAGTATCAATGCTTCATAGTGTACGAAACATTATCACAAAAATCGAAGGGTGTATAGAAAAAGGATTTATCATCTATCATTTAACATGACCACAAAAAGTTTCCTACACACACAATATTTTATGGGGCCCGCAGCAAAAAAAAAAAACTTCGGAACGCAAAACGAATCTCTATAACTTAACACAATCATTTTTCCTACAAACATAACTCTCATAAAAATTCATAAAAAAATGTTCCTTTATCATATTAAATGACAATTATAAAACCCTTAATTTATATTGCATTTTTTAAGTAATATAGTTGGCGGCCAGTTGGCTGTAATTTCTTTTTTCTATTTTAATTTTTTGTCATGGAGTTCTTTTTGAATAGTTTTATGTCATACAAAGTTGACCATTCTAGATGATTCTAAGGTAGATCATTCTAGATGATTCGTATTGGCTAAATAATTTGACGAGATCTTGTGTAAGAGAAAGCTCTTAATGGTATACCTGTTAATGCTAATACTATTGAGTTGTGTATTATATAGAATGGCTATAACTTCGTGTCTGTTCCGCCATCATTTTTACAAATAAAAAATTGAAAATAAGAATTACATCTGAGGGAAATTTGGTATTGCGTTATTGCCGTCATCCTTACATCAATATGTGATCGCACACGCCAGTTTTTGCAAACATTAAATATGTCATGTATAAAAAGGAAACCAAATAAATTAATGGACATTTTATTTTTTATCCTAATTTATAAATTTTAAAAATCATGCTAATTATGATTAAGGTAATTATGGGTCTACTAAAAAAGTAAGGTTGTGAATTTTTTTATCAAAATTTATTTTAGCTCCCACCATAACCATTCTTGGATAGTTTCCAGCACAAAATAAATTTTTTTAGAGAGGTAACGTAAAACAATTGATGTCTCCTCGCCTAACAGTTTCAATTTTGAATAGAGTTGTTTCATGACACATTGCATTATTTGTCATTGCTTATTTATGAGACTCTCCATGTTACAACTGGTTGCGCTGATTGACTAAGCTATGCTTGTATAGTTACTACGCATCATAATATGCATGATGCTTCCAACATCACTTGCATTCAGTACTCTGTCTAGGTAATGTACAAAAAGTTGTTGAAGGCCTCAGCTTTAATAATCTCATTAGCCAATTTTACAACCAAAAACTGTGGTATTGAGCCCATTTTCGCATATCATGCCATCAAATGGCGGTCGACAATCTTGTGATATTGGGCCTATGTCTTCTATTGTTTACCTTATAGTAAGAATGAGGCTGCAATCTATCTTACTTGAGCCCAGCCCATTGTTGCACATATTTATATTTTAAAGTTTTTTTTTTTTTTTTTTTTTTCTGGGTACGTAAAGTATTCTTATTTTTTTGCCGAAGTAACCTTAAGACTAAACAAAATGCTTACCCATTTTTTATATGATCAAAAGACCAAAAAGGCGTGTTCACTTACGCTCAACAATTCCCCGTATCTTAAATTCCGTTCGGAATCATATTAACTTTGATATCTGTGATCTTGACACTTTCTTTTCTAAGGTACATAGATTTGGACTTTTTTTTAATGGGAAATATAAGAATAATATTACTGGATATATAATACATCATGTTATAGAGATACAATTTATGGGTCCTATTGTTAAAATAAAAACAAAAACAAAAACAATGATGACTCACTATTTTGTTGAGTGTGTGTAGGACTGATTTCTAGTGTTATGGACACTTATCAAGCCCTTTTTTAATAAAAAAAATCTAGGTAAATGGAGATTTCCTTTATTTTAAATTCAGAATAAATCATTCTTATACAAATATAGACATTTTTAATAATAAATTTACAGTTCAAGTTATTAACAAGTTTGAATTAAGGAACTAAGAGATTGTTACAATGTAAAAGTTTAAAATAATGAAAATATAATTACTTAGGGCCCTATTTATGTATAAAAAGGTCATTTTTTTTTTTGGTAAACTAAAAAGGTCATTTTTTGCTTACAAAAAAAGGGGTCATTTTTATTTAAAAAACAAGTCTGAAAAAATATAACAATTAGATAAATATATTTAAAAAAATTGAAAACTTAAAACTTTTTCTTAGAAGTTAAAGAAAATAATTTTTTTGAAATTTTATTTGAAAAAAAAAAGCTATGAAAAATTATACCATAAAAATACTTTTTCAAAAAACATAAACAAACAGGCCCGTAATCTCAAGATGTCATACAGTGGTTTACCGAAAAAAATAAATAAATAATATCAAGATGTCATACAATGGAAGAAGAAAAAAAGTGTTTTTCTTATAGTCGTACGTCTTTCCTGGATATATGACTCTCTCGAGTCTAGTTACTCTGCCTCTTATTGAATATTAATAATTTGCAGATCACATTCTGATTCTTGCCCCATTTATGGAGAATCTTATTCAGTTACAAGGGATTCATGAATACAACCGAACCTTAAGGTCCCCCACCCTTATTGTGCTCCCCATTCCTTTCTTTCTCTACATTATATTTATAATTTTGATTCATTTGCGGGAACCAGGTTCTTTCTAGAAAATAGTCAGCTTGTTCTAGAAAACCTAGTTCTACAGAAAAATTCTTAAATCATAGTGGTGCATATTGTGTCCTGAATTACGATTATAATAATGTGAGATCATTGATTACCTAATGAAGTGAAAATAAGCAACCTGACTTCACAAAAGGACTCACAGCTCACAAGTAATATACATCTAACATGGCTAAATGACTCACTCGGCTTAACAGGGATTTACATTAGGTTAGACTCAACTTATTATATATAGTTAAATAGAAAAGTTTTAGGCAAAAAAAAGTCTATTTAAAAAATAGATTATAAGTTTTCTTTTAAATGCTGGGTCTATAATCGTACAAGTCGACTTATATTGTATTATTTATTTTAAATATAATAAATGACTTATTATTGTAATAATTTTAAATAATAAAATAATATTATTTTAAGGGAAAAATGTTTGTCCTTTTAAAGAATATAATTTTGTGTCATTTTAGATCTCAACCGTTGATTTCCGTCAATCAATGGTTAGGATTTATTGAATTTTATTGCAAATTAATAATTAATTAGTAAGTTTGACTCAGTAAATCTTAACCGTTGATTGACGAAAATCAAATGTTAGGATCTAAAATGAAATAAAGTTATTATGCCAGACTTAAACAAGCTAACAGGCTTAAACATAACGAAAGTTATTATGCCAGATTTTAAAAAGACAAACATTTTCCCCTTATTTTAATTATTAAATGCTTAACAGGTCTAAACAAACTAACAGACCTAAGACAAAGACTTTTACTTTTTAAATATAAATTATGCTAGACTTATAATTGAAACCAGCACAAGCTAATAGACCAAGTCTGACCAAAAATATTTTATACATGCCAAACTAACAAAAGTCTAGGACAATAGAACCTATTTACACCCCTGGATATATCCTTGTTTGACCTTTCAATGTCCATAAAATTTAAGAATGGTTTTCTCTAGCCTTGTTATTATTTTCTTTTTTAAGATTTTCTGAGCCACAAAGCAATATTTGTTTCCTTGTGCAAACCATAAGTAATTAATTCTCAAATATCGAAAAAGCCCTTAAAAGTGAGGCTAAGATGGCAAAAGAATTTCAAACTTGCAAAGCCACCACCTTGACCATCCAGATACATTGGACACACAAAGTTTTCAATATGGTCCCTGTTTCATGGCAAAGAACCTTGTAATCAACACGTGCCACAAAGATGCTAACGTGGACTAAACAGATTGTATCTTTGTGTCCATTTTTTTCAACCATATATAAACTCAAATTGAGTCTTTACCTTACCATGCATGCAAACCAAGCAAAACACAAAAAAACAAACCAACCATGGATGAAGAAGGATCAAGGGGAAGGGCCAAGGATGACGCCGGAGATGTCCGGTATCGAGGCGTGCGCCGGCGGCCATGGGGGAAGTTTGCGGCTGAGATTCGTGACTCGACAAGGCAGGGTCAGAGGGTGTGGCTAGGAACTTTCAACACGGCGGAGGAAGCAGCCAGAGCCTATGACAGAGCTGCTTATAACATGAGAGGTGCATTTGCAATCCTTAACTTCCCAAATGAATACCCTAGTGGTAGTGGCAGTGCTGCCTCTCGTTCCTCTGCTGCTGCTTCACCATCATCATCATCTTCTTCCTCTGCTTCAAGGAATGCAAATGAGCAAGGAAGACAAGTGTTTGAGTTCGAGTACTTTGATGACAATTTGTTAGAGGAGCTTCTTGATTGTGAAGAAAAAAAGAAAAAGGGAACTTGAAAGGTAGTACTCCTATATAATGTTACTCTAAGATAACGTTACAAGTTTTATATTGATTAAGCATGTAATTCTAATGCATTAAGCGGCGTCATATAGTGATAAAGTATATTATCATTTCCAAGGGATGACGAGTTATATGTACTGTCCCTTTGCTTGCTAAGAAATTAAAACTTGTCTTAACAGGTCAAGTAGTGTGCCCCTTACATTATGTTTTCTTTCGGCCCTTTTCAATATACCATGTTAGACTCTGTTTCCCCTGCAGTTTATATAATGCGAGTTCATTTCTCAAATTCCCAACCATCAAATACGTGCTCATAAGGAGTGTAGTTAGTAGTTATATGACGGTTGACAACTTTTCAATTTTTTCATGTAAAAATAAGCTCATGTTATTGCTATGCTAGAAAATTATTGTAACAATTTGAACTTGATGTCTACATTCACAAGAGATAAAAAAAAAAAAAAAATGAATGCTAACACTAGGTAGTATTTCATTTATATTCGGAGAAGCATAAATATGAGAAGAAGAATAGTCAAAACATGATAAATACAATTTTCATCTTAATTATTTTAGAACATTATAGACCTTTGTATCTCATTCTAAATTCGGAAGAGTTTCACAGACAAAAATTGCAACAGACTAACATAAACCGGGACCAATTTTAGCTAAATAAAAGTACAGTTTGGTTAGATCTTTGGCTTATCGTTAACATTATTAAATATAATCGGTGAATATATTTTTTTAGTCGATTTTAAGATCCGCTCATTTAATATGACAATTTATTACTACAGATGATTTCTACTTTTGGTCTCTAATTTTAATTTATTTTTATCAAAAATAATTATGATTTGATTATACAATAGGAAATGACTAAAAAAGACAAGAAAACAAATAGACCTATTTCGTAGAAATCGTTCCATCCTACTCCAACCATAGCCTCATGAAGGAGAGGAACACATCCTGACGGAGGGACATGGTGGCAAAAGGATGATTAAAATCTATCCTTTAATCTACAATTATAAACCAGTAGCAAGTCACTTTTTAGGTAAACATTTTTGTTTCCAAGGTTCACGCCATCTCCGGGCCATGGATCAAGCCCTTGTTGGAAATCAACAATTGCACTAACACACAAAAATCGGAAAACGAAAAAATGATTTTTTCTGATTTTGTAAGTTACGTCCAGCTTGTATGTACTATATTCACATCACTGTTACTTATTACAAATCACTCAATTTACAAGTAAATATAAATAGGATTTAGAAAAAGATATATGCAATAACCCAAACACAAATTACTAAGAAAAAGATAAATGCAAAAACTCTTAATAAAGATTCTCGTCTATACCTAACAGTCCCAAAGTTTCACAAGCAAGGGGCTACATGGCCCCATGTTTTTTAAAATCCTGCTAACCACCGCCCTACACAATTCCGCAAAAGGCCACCGCAGCAGCAATGATCTCCTCCATAAGCATTAGATCTATCCATATTCATTTTTATCGTGTGACGACTAATAGCAACTGATTTGGAGTGGTGAATTCTTGTTTTCTTGGCTGATCAGTTGCTCGGACGCATCATTAAAACAGTTCAACACCTTCATCATAGTGTCTGATTGCTCCAATGAAGTTTCCCCAAACAGTATCTAATCATAGGCGAAAAACAAATGCCATATAAGAAAATTTCATGGGTTATTTCTAAAATTTTTAATAAGTGCTCATTGAATATGAGTGGTATCCTGACCTTGAGGTTGATTTGTCACCCCTAATCATCTGTTTTATTATTTAAAACAATAAAATTGTTTAAAATATTTATTATGCCATAGGCCATAGCAACTGTTTTTATATATTCAACTTCTCATTTATAGTTATTAAAAAAAAATAAACTCCGCAATTATTCTAGACTGCTCATTATTAAATCTTCATAATCTCAATTAAGAAGAGGGAAATTTCATTTCAACCCTCTGTGATCTTATGTTTATCACTTGACCCCATATGGTAATGAACGTGTCACTTAGATTTATTGTGCTTAAATAATTTATCATTCAATCCCAAGTGATTTCAAATTTTTATTTACACTTATTGTGGTTATAAAAGCATATCTTGAGGGTTCATTTTTTCTCCAGTTGCATATCTGCAGTAAGTCAATACGACGTCGTTTTGGGGCGGAAATCATTGTGTTTTTGTAATTTTAATTTATTTCAGGGTTATAATAGTCTTTATATTTATAATTTTTTGAGATTTCAATATCAAAACGACGTCGTTTTGGAAATAAATGCAAATAACTTATCTGCATTAACTGCAGAAACATTTTTCCCATTACTTAAACCCCTTGTGGTCTTATAAATATAAAAATATTTACTTTTTCTAAATTTATTTTATATAACTATGATATTATCAAATAAAATTATAATAAGATTAAAAACTAAATATTAAATTAAAAAATATTTCAAGTTATTTATTTCAACGTTATTAAACCCGGCCCGGTTATTGACCCGGTCGAGGTATTGGGTCACTGGGTCACTGGTTCAACCAGTGGGTCACTGGTTCAACCGCATGACCCGGTAAGTATATGCAAATCTTCAATTTATATTAAAAAAACTATAAATATACTTAAATACTTGTACAAAGATATACCAATTTCAAATATTTTAATATGAAAATAATAAATTACATATCATTGTCCAACGAAAGATCAATCAAACATATAATATTTGTGATGTTAGTGTTTCAGGTTCAAATCAAAATTTCCTGCATATTGCATAATCAAGATAATATTAGTGTTGTAGGTACATAATCTATGTAAGTTAATAAGCTACAAGTCACTCAAATATTTCAAAAGAAAACAAATTATTTGTGTTTGAGAGTAAAAAAAAAGAAGATATTAATTTATGAAAATAAATTAATTTTTTGTTTTTTTATAGACCGGATCGGGTTACCGGTTGAACTGATCGGGTCACCGGTTTTTACGAAAACCGACAGAGTCGCACCGGGTCACTCCGGTTCTGTAACATGGCCGGTCCAATATGAAAACCGGACCAGTTACATGACCGGTTCACCGATTTCTGGGTCGACCCGACCGGGTCGGTCCGGTTTTTACAACATTGATTTATTTTGAAATTAATTTATAAATTATCTTATTTTTTATTTTAAAAATATATTTAAAAATTAAAAAGATATTATTTAAGATAAATTAAATATAAAAATAAAATATTTACTTTCGTTTGATAATTTTAAAATCGGATAAAAATAGATAAAATAAAATAATTTTTAATTTAAATTTATTTTTGTGTTAAAAATAATTCAATTTTTTTAAAATTTATTTTTATTTATTTGCAGGAAAATAAAATTTTTAATATGTATAAAATTATAAGGACATAATTGATATTATTATTAATCAAAATTAATTTAAATAAATAATTTATAATTTTCGGTATATAATTTTAATTTATAATATGATATTAATACAAGAAAAAGTTGAGAAAAATAAAATAAAAAATTATGTATATATAAGACACAAGGGTCTATGTGATATATTTTTATAACCAAAATAAATATAAGTGAGAATTTGAAACCATAGAAAATTAAATGATATATTATTTAAGCACAATGAATCTAAATAATAAATTTAAAATTACAGGGAATCAAATGATAAATAAAAAATCACAATTGGTGAAAATGCTTAACAAAAATATTGACAATTGGATACTTTGTTTTGACTTGCAAGTTGCAATGCACAAACATTTAACTGTGCGACTTATAAATGATCAATAATTTAGAAGGGTTATATTTATCTCATTTTACATGAGATAAACAACTCTCTTACACACTCAAAAAGAGGTTGGGTCCCACTACTCTTTTTTCTCTCTTACTTATGGGTCTCACTTATACTTTTATTTCTACAATATAAAATAATTTTTTTCTTACCACAAAAAAAATATATCCCAATTTTGAAATAGCGGTTGGTGGTTTCTATTTCTCACTGAACATCTTAGACAAGATATTGTTGCTTCTCTTCTCATTTGTCAGTTTTGTGGAGCCTTAACTCTTATGAAGCGTGCATCAGATCATTTTAATGATACAGAGGATTTAAAAAAGTTTAAACAGACAAATTACACAATAAGTTAATACAGAGGACTAAAAAAAAATTAATGATTATTTTTTTAAAAAAAAAATCATTTTTCTTGTATTTTTGTTATAAAAACCAAGTGTATGTAAATTTATTCTCGCCTCTTCTGACATAAATTACTGGCTCTGCCACTGCTCTTATCATCCATCTTTTGTATGAATTTCTTTCTTTGCTTTAAATTTTGTACATATATACATAATATTATATATTATTTTTTAGCATAGTTAGAATGACTCATTTGACAATAATAATTTCATATCATGAAAAATGAGTTGACTCATGTGATATATATATGTATATATCGTTATTTATTCATTTTGTTTTTCAATATTAAGATAGTAATATGATATTATAAAAAATGAATTGTATTTTTATATATATTTTCATCAGAAAAATTTTATATTTATTTTAGATTATTATTTTTTATTAAATATGAAATTTTGATATTTTGGTTATAATCTTTGTGATTTGGTTATTTAATACACATTGAATGATAAATATATAATTATTTCAAATATAAAAAAAAAATTTATAGTGTTATTATTTTGGATCACTTTGATTTAAATATGTTATGTTATGCCTATATAAATATTTTAACTCAAATTATTTTCCTCAAATAAGCTAAACTATTGATCTAATCTGACGTATATTTAAAAAAAATGTCTAACTTAGCTTATTTAAGTCTATCAAACTCTTAATATTTATCAAGAATTAGAAAAAAATAAAATAATATTGTTTTATTAACTAAATTTATATAAATTATTGTTTTATTTTAATTTAATTAAAATAAATAATACAATATATGTCCTTGTTGGTTAAACCTCGTAAAAGTAAGTCTACAGCCTATTTCTTAATAGGTTTTTGTTAAAAAAAAAATCTAAATATGTTATATTTCCACACCAAAAAATATATATTATATTTTACTAAATATATTAGACTTAGCCAGATTTGTCATAAACC